TATACATATATATATATATAAAAATACACACACACACACACAGGATTTTGCGCAGCCCTGCCACCCTGTAGCAGTACTTCTGCTATAGGGCGGCGGGAAAGTGGTTAAAAGCTTTTTCCTCAATCTACAGAACTGAGCACAGCGGAGTTTACCTGATGCTGCCTACAGGGCCTTAGCTTTAAAATTCAATATGGAACATGGATTTTTTTTCCCTAAAAAAAAAAGGCATTTTTAGTCCCCAAACAAGAGGTGAGGCAGAAGCAGAGCAGACACCCCCCCCCCCCCCTACATGATATCCACGTCTTCTCCTTGATTGTGTCTGACCTTCCTCTGCAGACCTAAAAGTTCAGCGGTGCTCCCCGGAGTAAATGAGTTTCCTGTTGAACCAACTGCACACCAATCAGCGCTCAATCAATCAGTTTAACCTTTCCTGGCCCGGCACACTGCCCCGGGGCTAAAGCAGGCTGCAGTTACCCTTCCCATTTCCTGGCTGCCTGGATACACACAGGTTGTTTGATCAACCCCCCCCATTCCACTCCACACTGACTGCCCACTGAGATTGACAGATCAGCCCAATCACTGGAACACTTGTTTGTTTAAAAGACTTCAGACTAAGCTCGGGACGTTTACTATCCTGAGTCCGCCAGATCTGCTACACGGCCATGCAATGAGGATATTTAACTGCTAGCCGCCCAGGCCAATTCTGACATTTCTCATCTACATGGAAAAAGCAGCATTTCGTTTTTTTGCTAAAAAACTACTTAGAAACTCCAAACATATTTTTTTTTAAGCAGAGGCCCTAGAGAATAAAATGGTGGGCCTTTCATATTTCTATGTTGCACCATGATTTTTTAAAGCCAGATTTTGGGGAAAATTATGAATTGGATGCCACAAAAAAAAAGCACAATATAATACCCGATTTTTTGGTAAAATATAAAAGGATGTCATGCTGAGTAAATAGATACCAGTGCTTGTAACCACTTCAGTACCAGGCACTTTTAACCCCTTCCTGCCCAGGCCAATTTTTCAGCGTTGTCGCAGTTTGAATGACTATTGGGCGGTCATGCAACACTGTGCCCATATGAAATTTGTATCTTTTTTTTATCAGAAAGATAGAGCTTTCTTTTGGTGGTATTTAATCTCCACTGAGTTTTTTTATTTTTTATTTTTGTTAAACGATAAAAAAAAAAAGGCCAAAAATTTTGAGAAAAAAATAAATAAAAAAAGTTGAAGAAAGAAAAAAAAAAAAAAAGACAGGAAGCAGTTAATTTTTAGTTAATTTAAATCGGCGGAATTTTAACTTTTTTTAAGATTCTTATTGCCATGGACTTGTGACATGTAAGACAGTAGGAGGGGTGGGAGGTTGTCAGAGTCACACTAGGAGGTGGATTTACTTAAGGCATGTAGACCGTGCACTTTGCAAGTGCAGCTGCTCCAGAGTTTAGTAAATGAAGGGAATCTCTGTTGACTTCCATCTTCCAATCAAGTTTCTCCTGATGTGTCCAAAGGGCCACGTATAATATTTATTATATCCACTTCAGCCCCAGCGACGTACCCGTAGGTTGCTGAGGTTTGAACCGGTATACCGGGATGATGCCTGCAGCTGTAGTTGTCATCCTGGTATTGTTTTTTTTTTTAGAACTGGCGGACGGCTTTCATGTAACAACGATCACCGTGGTTAACAAGCCAATCGATCGTTATTACATGCAGTTAGAGTGGACCCCCCCCCCCCCCCCCCCCCCCCCCCCCGCTGTCTAATGCAGCTTGCTCAGGCTCTCCCATCCCATCGGGAGAGCCAAGCTACCAGCCAGTGCGTCCGCTGGCTGCCCGGAGAACCAATGAAAGCCGATTCCGACTTTCATTAGGTCTCCACTACAGTAACCCGGAAGCAATGACATCACATCACTTTCGGGTTAACCGGATGTAAACAGCGACATTAAAAAAAAAAAAACCCCAAACATTTAGAAATGCTGATTATTGGTGTTTCTGAATGCTTTTAACCTCTTCCCTACCGTACTGTAGCCAAAAGATGGCAACAACACGGTTGTCTAGTTCTGGGACGACGTCCATGGACATCATTCCAGAACATGCACCCTGGCACCACCAGCGGCGCGCACTCCTACGGACACAGCTGATCACGTGATATGGTAAACGGCCAATCACAGCGGCCTTTTACCATGTGATCAGCTGTGTCCAATGACACAGCAGATCCCCGGGTAAATACAGTTGTCGGTTATTGGCTGCACTTTCCTCACACTGTCACAGCATAAGGAAAGTACTGCCGATAACCGCCAATTGTCAGAGAAGTGATCGGCACTGATGATCAGTGCCACCCACCTGTACCCATCAGTGCCACCACCTGTGCAGTGCCACCCACCTGTGCTGTGCAGTGCCACCCACCTGTACCCATCAGTGCCACCACTGCGCAGTGCCACCCACCTGTGCAGCATCATCAGTACCAGCTCATCAGTGCCGCGTATCAATACCGCCTATCAGTGCCCATCAGTGCTGCCTCATCAACACACATCAGTGAAGGAGAATTACCTGTTTGCAAAATTTTATAATGGAAACAAAGAAAAACTTTTTTTTTTTCAAATGTTTTGCTTTTTGTTTTGTTTATAGCACAAAAAGTAAAACACCCAGTGGTGATTAAATACCACCAAAAGAAAGCTTTATTTGTGTGAAAAAAATGATAAAAATTTCATATGGGTGCAGTGTTGCACAACAGCGCAATTGTCAAAGTGTGACAGCGTTGAAAGCTGAAAATTGGCCTGGGCAGGAAGGGGGTATAAGTGCCCTGTAGGCAAGTGGTTAAGTGCAAAGGAGGGATTTGGGGTCTTGTAGATCCCTCCATAAAGAGTACCTGTCACTGCCTATTGCTGTCACAAGAGATGTTTACAGCAAAAGTGATTTAAAAAAAAAAAAAAAACATTAAAGCAACAGTGGAAAAAATAAAAAATTGGGATGCACCAAAATTTCGGTGGCCGAAATGTTTCGGCCGAAAATACCCCTATTGGCCTTTGGCCGGTATGAAAATTGGCACCGATACAAGTACCGAAAATAACCCCTCCCCGGCCGGTTGTTGTCAGCCTTCCCGGAGAACCCATCCAAAGATCCCAGCGCTAGGCATAGAGATCAGTGAAGGAAAGATGGCTTCCACTCATCTCTATCCCCTTGGAGGACCGGAGCGACGTCACTATGTTACTTCCAGCTTTATATTGTAGAGGTGAGATGTGGCGTTTTATTGACCCCAGATCTCTCTACAAAGAGAACCTGTCACTGCTTATTTCTACCACAAGGGATGTTTGCATTGCTTGTGATAGGAATAAAATTGATTTAAAAAATAAATATAAAAAAAATATATATATATATATATATATATATATATATATTTAAAGGGACAGTGTAAAAAAAAAAAGTAATAAAAGAATATATATATAATATATATATATATATATATATATATATATATATATATATATATATATATATATATATATATATAAAAATTTAAATTTTTTAAAAAATTTTTTTAAGAGACAGGTAAAAAAATATATATATAATTTAAACGGACAGTGTAAAAAAAAAAAGGAATAAAATAATATATTATACATAAATATATATATATATAAAATTTTTTAATTTTTTTTTAAGAGACAGGTAAAAAAAAAAAGGTAATTAAAAAAATGTAAACGTGCCTCCGTCCCCCTGTGCTCACGCGCAGTGGTGAGTGCATACGTAGGCCACGCCCACATATGTAAACGGTGTTTGAACCACACATGTGAAATATCGCCACATTAGAGCAAGAGCAATAATTCTAGCACTAGATCTCCTCTGTAACTTTAAACGGGTAACCTGTAGAAATTTTTAAAGCGTCACCCATGGAGAATTATACGTACCACAGTTTGGCGCCATTCCACGAGTAATTTTAAAGCGTGACATGTTGGGTATCTATTTATTCAGTGTAACATCATCTTTCATTTTACAAAACAAATTGGGGTATAGATCGTGGGTTTTTTTTCTCATTAAAGTGTATTTTTTTTACAAAAAAATTGAGTTTGAAAAATATATTAATTTTTTTAAAAAACTGTCCATTTCGGTTTTCGGCCAAGTGCATCCTGAATTTTCGGTTTCAGCACCAGCATTTTCATTTCATAGCACCACTAATAAAAAAAAAAAAAAATATATACTAAATTACTAATTAAAAAAAAAAAATTATATTAAAGTGCCCCCCGTCCCCCTTTGCTCACACGCAAAGGTGAACGCACACGTGTCGATCCTGCACAAAAGAAAACAGCAATTGGCCCACACATGTGAGGTATTGCTGCGAACGTCAGATCATGGGCAGTAATTCTAGCACCAGACCTCTGTAAATCTCAAGTAGTATCCTGCAAAGGCTCATAAAGCGTCACCTATGGATAGTAAAATTTACGTCGCTTGTTGCCGTTGCACGGGCGTGTGTAATTTTTTAAAGCGTGACATGTCTGGTATCTATTTACTCGGCGTAACATCATCTTTTATAGTTAGAAAAAAAAATGTGTTTTGTATGTTTTTTGCATTAAAATTCCAAAAAGTATTTATTTTGCAAAAAATTGCGTTTGAAAAACCGCCTCGCCAATACTGTGTGACATTAAAAAAATTGCATCGATCGCCATTTTATTCTCTAGGTTCTCTGTGAAAAAAAAAAATATATATATTTTTGGGTTCTAAGTCATTTTCTAGCAAGAAAAAAAAAAATTTCAACTTGTAACGGGTGGGCGGGACACAGGTACCCATCCTCCCCAAAAAGGAGCTAAATGTGGCACCTGAGGAGGAGGCAGAAAAGCGGAGCTTCTACTTTTGGGGGAACTCCGCTTTAGTTTTTTTGTTTTCTGTAAAGGTGAAATTCACTAAAAGGAATTCATATCGCAGTTTATTTCGCTCATGTGAAGGTAACAGACCCTCTAAGTATAGAATGAGCAGTCAATGTATTCCTTATGAAGATAACCCATGGTACTTACCTGAGGGTGGACTGTGTTGGCTCAGTGCTTGATGAAGGTTCTAAACTGATCGGTAAAACCTTATCACTTTTGTAATTATCGTACCGCTGAAAGGAATTCACATAAAATAGAAATTGATTAACGACAGCCAAGAAAGTCTGATGTAATCCATACACATCGAAGGGCAACTCCACTTTTGTGGGGGGGAAAAATAGCAAAAAAAAAAAAAAAAGGCCACATCCGGCCCTTGGGGCACTATTGCTCCCAATGAAATGAGGCACTATTCCTTCCATTGAGACAAATGATGGTGTCAGTGGGAGGAATAGTGCCCCATCACTGGTGTCAGTGGGAGGAATAGTGCCCCATCATTGGTATCAGTGGGAGGAATAGTGCCCCATCATTGGTATCAGTGGGAGGGATAGTGCCCCATCATTGGTGTCAGTGGGAGGAATAGTGCCCCATCATTGGTATCAGTGGGAGGAATAGTGCCCCATCATTGGTGTCAGTGGGAGGAATAGTGCCCCATCACTGGTGTCAGTGGGAGGAATAGTGCCCCATCATTGGTATCAGTTGGAGGAATAGTGCCCCATCATTGGTGTTAGTGGAGAAATAGTACATCAATGATGGGGCACTATTCCTCCAACTGCCGCCAATGATGGGGCAGTATTTCTCCCAATGACATCAATGATGGGGCACTATTCCCCCCACTGACACCAATGATGGGGCACTATTCCCCCCACTGACACCAATGATGGGGCACTATTCCTCCCACTGACACCAATGATGGGGCACTATCCCTCCCACTGATACCAATGATGGGGCACTATTCCTCCCACTAGTACCAATGATGGGGCACTATTCCTCCCACTAATACCAATGATGGGACACTATTCCTCCCACTAATACCAATGATCGGGCACTATTCTCCCACTGATACCAATGATGGGGCACTATTCCTCCCACTAATACCAATGATGGGGCACTATTCCTCCCACTAATACCAATGATGGGGCACTATTCCCCCCACTGACACCAATGATGGGGCACTATTTCCTCCCACTGACACCAATGATGGGGCACTAATCCTCCCACTGATACCAATGATGGGGCACTATTCCTCCCACTGACACCAATGATGGGGCACTATTCCTCCCACTAATACCAATGATGGGGCACTATTCCTCCCACTAATACCAATGATGGGGCACTATTCCTCCCACTAGTACCAATGATGGGGCACTATTCCTCCCACTGACACCAATGATGGGGCATTATTCCCCCCCACTAATACCAATGATGGGCATTACTTTTTCTCCTACTGACAACCAACCCCGAGGCTATCTGTATCCTCACTGATGCTGGGCCTGGGACATTTTCTACTCCAGCTAGCCACAATCCAGCCAACCTAAAGTCTGAAGGACAATAAACTGGCCCATTGTTTGAAAAGTTTGGAGACCCATGACGTATACGATTGCCACACAAGTCATATTGCAAACTGAATGTTATTACCACTTCAATACCGGCACTTTCACCCCTTTCCTGCCCAGGCCAAATTTCAGTGATGTGCTCTGACGAGGCTGCACTGATGGGCACTGACGAGGCTGCACTGATGGGCACTGACAAGTCTGCACTGATGGGCATTGATGAGGCTGCACTGATGGGTACTGACAAGGCTGCACTGATGGGCATTGATGAGGCTGCACTGATGGGCATTGATGAGGCTGCACTGATGGGTACTGACGATGCTGCACTGATGGGTACTGATGAGGCTGCACTGATGGGCAGCGATGAGGCTGTACTGATAGGCATTGATGAGGCTGCACTGATGGGTACTGACAAGGCTGCACTGATGGGTACTAACAAGGCTGCACTGATGGGTACTAACAAGGCTGCACTGATGGGTACTAACAAGGCTGCACTGATGGGTACTGACAAGGCTGCACTGATGGGTACTGACAAGGCTGCACTGATGGGTACTGACGAGGCTGCACTGATAGGCATTGACGAGGCTGCACTGATGGGCACTGACGTGGCTGCATTGATGGGTACTGAGAAGGCTGCACTGATGGGCATTGATGAGGCAGCACTGATGGGCATTGATGAGGCTGCACTGATGGGTATTGATGAGGCTGCACTGATGGGTATTGATGAGGCTCCACTGATGAGGCTGCAGTGGTAAGGAGGCACTAATGGGAACTGATTGTCATCCAAGTGCGACAGCGCTTAAAGTCGAAAATTGTCCTTGGCAGGAAGGGGTGAACATGCCCGATATTGAAGTGGTCATAAAGGCTGTTGGTTTTTCACCATCATGCATTCTGTACATCAAGGTAAAAAAACCTTCTATTGTCAGCTCCCCCCACAGCCCCCCCAAATACTTACCAAAGCCTGATCTCCATCCAGCGTTCTGAGCTGCTCCCTATCTCCCTCCTCACTGGACTCCATTGGCCTCTACTGCATTCAATCAAATCCAGTGACAAGGGAGCAGGCTGTGAGGCCGAGCCTGTCTGCGTCTATACACACGGGTAGCACGGCTCAGGATTGAGCTCACGGGACGCAGCTTCCTATGGTGGCATGTGGAGAAGAGGAGGAGCCCAGAGCGCCAGCGGGGGACCCAAGAAGAGGAGGAGGATCAGGGCTGCTCTGTGCAAAACCATAAACACAGAGCAGCTAAGTATGATGTTTGTTATTTAAAAAAAAAAAAAAAAAAATTACTTTACAAATCACTATAACATTTTTAGAAGGTTCCTATATCCAGGGAATATCCGATTGCCTCTCGGGGGATCAGGAAGGAATTTTTTTCCCTGCAGGAGCAAATTGGATCATGCTTTGCTGGGTTTTTTTGCCTTCCTCTGGATCAACTGTGGGTATAGGATTATAACTTTTTTTTTTTTTTTTTTTAATGATTGAACTGGATGGACTTTTGTCTTTTTTCAGCCAGACTATGTAACTATATCATAGCAAATCTCTGCTATCTTAGTTCAGCTCCACTTTATCAAACCCAAGATATAGAGTGGTGTGCAGCATCATTACCTTAATTTGTGCATGGGCCCATCTGACCACCAACTTCTTTGATAAGGCCATCTTCCCGTTGAGACACTGAATGGCTTTTTCTGCTTCCTGTTCAAAGCAAAAAAAAAAAAAACATTACTACAATATATATCCACACATACGTAATCCGGCTCTTCTGGGTAGGGGGCACGTGCACATACCTGCTGCCCAGGTTATACTGCCATCAACTCCAGCACATGCCCACCAGTAGGTCCTGGTCAATGATTTATGGCTGGGACCTGCTGATAGAATGACAGTAGAGAGTCCTGTGTTGATGAACAACACAGAGCTCTCTACAAACAGGGGTGATGTGCCATTTTTTTTACTCCCAGGGAGTAAAAACCGGCACATTGTTCAGTGAAAACACCACACAGTAAACACTGTTAGGCACACAGTTAACCCATTGATTGCCCCTAAATGTTAACCCCTTCCCAGCCAGTATCATTAGTACAGTGTATAGTATCAACACCGATCACTGTATTAGTGTCAGTGGTGATGTCAGTGGCAGTTAGTCAGTTCCCATCCAGTGTCAGATTGCCCACCGCACTATCACAGTCCCACTATAAGTCTCTGATTGCTACCATTACTAGTATAAAAAATTTTTATTATACTTACTCATACTTTGCAGACACTGTAACTTTCACAAAAACGAATTAATATACACTTGTTGTGATTTTTGTTTTACCGAAGACTTGTAGCAGAATCAGGGGCGTACTGACAACTCATGGGGCCCCCGGGCAATAGGGGATCAAGGGGTCCCTGCGTCCTCGCCCACATTCAAACCGTACCCAAAAAAACCTATGAAAGGTACCAGGGACATCTCATGGGGCCCCCTACTGACCCCGGGCCCTAAGGCAGTGCCCGAGTTCCCCAATGGTCAGTCCGCTACTGAGCAGAATACATTCTGGCCCAAATGTATGACGAAATTTGACTTTTAACTTTTTTTTTTTTTATTGGATATGTTTTATAGCAGAAAGGAATATTGCATTTTTTTTTTTTTTTTAATTTTTGTTTTTCATTTATAGAATATAAAAAAAAAAAAAAAACCCCAGTGGTGATCAAATACCATCAAAAGAAAGCTCTATTTGTGTGAAAACAAAATGATATAAATTTAATTTGGGTACAGTGCAATTGGCAGTTAAAGCGGCGCAGTGCTAAATAGCAACAAAATGGCCTGATCATGAAGGGGGGGGTAAAATATTGAAGTGGATATTTACTAAAACTGATCATATTGGTAAAAGTTCAGTCCATGGGTGGAAGTATCTGTTGCAGATTCATCTAGTTAGAGCCGACCATGAATTGAAATTTGGCTAGTTCAGCAGGGACTGGCCAAGTCTGTTTTTTCTCCATCAGTCAGAATTGTAATGTATCCTGCTGATAGAGAATACAATGAGCCGGTAAGGGGGGATTCCTCCTTCCACCTTGCTTGCGTGGATGGGGGAATCCTTTCCTTTTTATTTGTCCAGCCCGCTGGCTGATTGAAAAAAAAAAAAAAGTAATCACTTAACCACTCGCTTCCCAAGCCTATCCTGGCGTTTCTCTCCTACAATTAAAAATCATTATTTTTTTTTGCTAGAAAATTACACAGAACCTCCAAACACTATAGATATTTTTCTAAGCGGAGACCCTGGAGAATAAAATGGCATTTGTTGCAATTTTTTGCATTACACGGTATTTGCGCAGCATGAATTTGAATGCAAAAAAACCCTAATAACCCGAATTTTTGGTAAAATATAAAAAATGATGTTATGTCAAGTAAATAGATACCTAATGTGTCCCTCTTTAAAATTACGCATGCTCGTGGAATGGCGTCACGGTATTTAAAAATCTCCATAGGTGACAACTTAAATTTTTTTTACATGTTACCAGTTTAGAGTTACAGAGGCGGTCTAGCACTAGAATAATTGCTTTTTCTAAAACGTTCGTGGCGATACCTCACACGTGGTTTGAATTCCATTTACATATGCAGGGGCGATCTACGTATGTATTAGGCACTGCGCACGAGCACGGGGGGGGGGGGGGCTTTAACCGCTTCCCCGCCGCTGTATAGCAGATATACTGCTACATGGCGGCACGAGTGCGCAAAATCATGTATATATGCGGGTAGGGGGTGCACTCGAGCCACGCGCATGCCCTACCCGCACCGCCATTTACGGCTGTGGATGTCAATCACCGGGTCCCGGCCGGTGATTACTGACAATCACCGTCAGGGAGGAAGACTGTTTTGTTTACAGTCTTCCTCCCTGTCAGCTCGGGCACACTGCACGGCACAGCCATCCAGAGCAGTGTGCTTACAGTGAAGCACACCCCCGCCCCATAGTAAAACACTCCCAGCACCCAGTTAACCCTTTGATAGCCCCTCACAATAACCCCTTCCTGCCCAGTGCCATTAGTACAGTGTCAGTGCGGTTTTTTAGCAATGATCACTGTATTGGTGTCACTAGGGATGTCAGTGACACCAAGTTAGTTCCCCCCCAGTTTCAGAATGCCCGCTGCAGTCCCGCTAAAAGTCACTGATCGCTGCCATTACTAGTAGGAGTAAAAAAAAAAAAATTCCAGTATCTATACCGCCATTTGTAAAAGCTATAACTTTCACATAAACCAATTAATTTACACGTATTGGGATTTTTTTTTTTAGCAAAGACACGGAGCAGAATACATTTTGGCCTAAATTCATGACGAAATTTTATTTTTTACATTTTTTTACTGGACATGTTTAATAGCAAAAAGTCCAAAATATTTTTTTTTTTGTCAAAATTATTGTTTTTTTTTAGCTTATAGCGTAAAAAATAAAAAACACGCACAGATGATCAAATACCACTGAAAGAAAGCTTAATTTGTGGAAAAAAAGGACGTAAAGTTCATCTGGGTGCAGCGTTACATGACCACGCAATTGTCAGTTAAAGTAACGTAGCGCCGTAATGCAAAAAATGGCCTGGTCAGGAAGGGGGGGGGGGGGGGAATGCTCTGGAGGGCAAGGGGTTAATTTTTTTTTTTTTTTAACACTGTTCCTTTAATTTGTTTTTCACTTTTATTCCTATCACAAGGAATGTAAACATCCCTTGTAACAGGAATAAGGCATGACAGGTACTCTTTATGGAGAGATCTAAGGGCTAAAAAACACCACATCTCTGTATGCTGGAAAGCATGAAATAAAGAATAAAAAAAAGAGATCTCAGGCTTTCCAGCAAAAAAAAAACAAACAAACAAAAAAAAATGTCAGTGTTCACATCTGCCAGAGCCGGAAGTGACGTCATGTCGCTTCTGGCCTCTCCCAGGGTCATAGAGATGGCCTGGGATGATCTGGTCCTTGGTCATCACTGTGATAACTCAGCGGCAGATCACGTCCCCAGCTTCCTGGTCGCACAGTAATAATGCTGGTGGGCGTCCCGCTGCCTTAAAAGTAATTCAGCGGCTGCTTAGCTGCTCGGATTACTTTTACTTGAAAGGGAATCGCCGGCTTGAAAAAAAATTATACCGGAATCATAGTTGTAGCCTCAACCATGATCCCGATACAACGGCTTTCCTACCAAGACGTATATGTACTACTGCCGGTAGGGAAGCGGTTAAAGCCAATCTCCGGGCAAAAAAAAAAAGTTTTTCCCATGCAGTGGGGCTGTGCCTGCACAACACGGTCAACTGCTCATTTTTGTCCAGGGGAGAAGAGAGCGGAGATATATTCACCCGATCCTCCCAGCAGAAGACCGGTCCAGCACCCCCGCGGTCTTGAAAATGGACTGTTCCTGACATCAAGCTCAGAGCAGACTCCACAGACCAGGAACAGTCCACTGCTGGACTGTAGGGGAGCACCATTTTCCGGTGGAACGAAGGATTGGGTGTGTATAAGCTTTTTCCTCACCCCTGAACAAAACTAGTAGAAGACCTGTGCAGTATGGGCACAGACCTACTGCATGGAAAAACTTTTTTTTTGTTCCCGAGTTGGGCTGTATCTTTAAGTTGTTTTTTTAAATGTGTTTTTTTATGTGCACATGAGGAAAAAAAAGAAAAATCACAGGACATGGTTGTAGAAACTTACCAGTTTAGTCTCAAAATTTACAAAGCAGTAGCCCCGGGGATGGCCCTCCAAGGGGCCGGATTTGTGAAACAGGAAATCGAATTGCTTCACTTTCCCAAATTTCTGCAGGAGATTTAACAGATGGTACCTGAAGGAATAAACAATGAAGAATAGTACATTACAACTCAAGCAAGGATCATGGCTTCCCATCATTTCTTTGCCTGTGTCACATGAAGAGTAAGGCATGGCGGTGCAAAAAAACCTGGAAGCTGATTGGTTCCTATGCACAGCTGCACTAGATTTTGCACTCTCCAGTTTTAGTAAATCAAACCCCAAGGGTCATAAGAAGACAGATTCGGTGTGTGCGTTATTTATACAAAGGATCTCTTACTCTGTGATTTTAGGATCCAAGTTCCCTATCCACAACCGATGTCCATCCTGTAGGGAGCCCTCAGACAGGATCGATGCGTTCTCCAGCGGCAACGTCTTTAAATCTTTCTCCATCGATACTTCCTAAAAGTACTGCAATAAAAGAAGTAAATAATGAAAACTATACCTTGTGATGCCGCTCCAAGCTATAGATGGAAGAAAAAGAACGCCCCACTGGCAATTTGGGAGCGATTCCAGTGTCAGCCAATACAAGTGAAGGAATGGACGCTGCTCAACTGTACCCAGGAGTCCAATGTTGAGGAATGGCCTCGGCCGCCGTTCTGGCCAAGCCCACTGACACGTTTCACCCTGCCCACCTGGGAATGCCCACATTTAAGAAAAATATATTTGAAATATATTGTAAAAATACTCTTCCCAAATATAGTGCCATATATTTGAAATACTACATTTCATATACAATATATTTCAATATATATATATTTATTTTATTTTTTTATTATTATACATAACTTATATAGCACCAACAGTTTGCTCAGCGCTTTACATTACGGAGGGAGACGGGTACAGTAACAATACAGTTTTAATACAAGAGGGATTAGAGGGCCCTGCTCCTTGGAGCTTACATATATATATATATATATATACATACACACACACACTGTATGTTGAAATGCATTTTTTTTTTTCCAAAATATATGAAAAATATTTTTAAAAATACATTTTCAAATATACTGTATGTCTTTAAAAATACAAATCTACATCTTTGGAATGCAATTACAAATATTTGTAAAAATATATGTTAAAATTACTTTTTCATGTTAAAAAATAACCGAAGAATATATTTAAAAATATATATATTTTTAAAAATATTTTTCATATTTTGTAATATATAAAAAATGCATTTCAACATGCAGTATTTATATATATATATATATATATATATACACATACACAAATACATATATATATACACACACACACATACACACACACACACACACACATACATACATATATATACACACATACACACACACATATATATATACACATACACACATATATACATATATATATATAACACACATACACACATATACACATAACACACATATAAAGAAGCCAAGGAAAGATGGAAAAATCTCCAAAAGGCATCAAATTACAGATTAGACATTCTTATAATATGTCAACAAAAGTTAGATTTTATTTCCATCATTTACACTTTCAAAATAATAGAAAACCAAAAAAATTGCGTCTGCAAAAGTTTGGGCACCCTGCAGAGTTAATATCTTGTACTGCCCCGTTTGGCAAGTATCACAGCTTGTAAACGCTTTTTGTAGCCAGCCAAGAGTCTTTCAATTCTTGTTTGAGGTATCTTTGCCCATTCTTCCTTACAAAAGTCTTCCAGTTCTTTGAGATTTCTGGGCTGTCTGTCACGCACTGCTCTTTTAAGGTCTATCCATAGATTTTCAATTATGTTGAGGTCAGGAGATTGTGAAGGCCATGGCAAAACTTTCAGTTTACGCCTCTTGATGTAATCCCCCGTGGATTTCGAGGTGTGTTTAGGATCATTATCCATTTGTAGAAGCCATCCTCTCTTTAACTTCAGCTTTTTCACAGATGGCATCAAGTTACCATCCAAAATTTGCTGAAATTTTATTGAATCCATTTTTCCTTCTACTCGTGAGATGTTCCCTGTGCCACTGGCTGCAACACAACCCCAAAGCATGATTGATCCGACCCCATGCTTAACAGTTGGACAGACGTTCTTTTCATTAAATTCTGTGCCCCTTCTTCTCCAAACGTACCTTTGCTCATTCCGGCCAAAAAGTTCAATTTTAACCTCATCGGTCCACAGAACTTGTTTCCAAAATGCATCAGGCTTGTCTATATGTTCATTTGCAAAGTTCAAACGATGATTTTTGTGGTGAGGACGTAGAAGAGGTTTTATTCTGTTGACTCTTCCATGAAGACCATATTTGTACAAGTATCTCTTTATAGTGGAATAGTGTACCACAACTCCAGTGTCTGCCAGATCTTTCTGCAGGGATCGTGCAGTCAAACGTGGGTTTTGAATTGTTTTTCTCACAATCCTGCGAGCTGTTCTGTCTGATATTTTTTCTTGGTCTTCCAGATCTTGCTTTAACTTCCACTGTTCCTGATGACTGCCATTTCTTAATTACATTCCGAACAGAGGATATTGACATCTGAAAACGCTTTGCTATCTTCTTATAGCCTTCTCCAGCTTTGTGAGCGTCAACTATTTTCAGTTTCAGTTTTCTAGACAACTGCTTAGAAGAACCCATGGTGCTGATTGTTGGGGCAAGGTCAGATGAGTCTGGGCATTTAAAACCTTTGAGATTGACATCACCTGGTCTTCCCAGACGATGATTGAGAACAATCCATGACACTGGCAGGTCTCAGATTTGCAAAGGGGGCAGTGCATGCTATAAATTCTGCAGGGTGCCCAAACTTTTGCAGACGCCATTTTTTTGTTTTCTTTATTTTGAAAGTGTAAATGATGGAAATAAAATCTAACTTTTGTTGACATATTATAAGAATGGCTAATCTGTAATTTGATGCCTTTTGGAGATTTTTCCATCTTTCCTTGGCTTCTTTATGCACATTAATACAAATTTTTAGCTGGGGTGCCCAAACTTTCGATCCCCACTGTATATATACACACATACATACATATATATATATATATATACACATACACATACATACACATACATCTATACACATATACATACATACACAGTTGCACTCAAAAGTTTACATCCCCTGGCAGGAATTGTGAAATTTTGGCATTGAAGATATGACTGATCATGCCACAAAATGCTCTTTTATTGAAGGATGATGATCATATGAAGCCATTTATTATCAAATAGTTGTTTGGCTCCTTTTTAAATCATAATGATAACAGAAATCACCCAAATGGCCCGAATCAGAAGTCTCCGCCCCCTGGAATGTTTGGCCTTGGTACATACACACAAGGTGACACACACGGGTTAAAATGCCAATTAGAGGTTAATGTTCCACATCTGTGGCTTTTTAAATTGCAATTAGTGTCAGCGTATAAATAGTCAATGAGTTTGTTAGCTCTTACGTGGAAGCATTGACTAGACTAGATACTGAGCCATGGGTCAGAAGTCCTGCGTAACAAGGTAATGGAGCTTTATAAAGATGGAAAAGGACATAAAAAGATGTCCAAAGCCTTGAATATGCCAATCAGTACTGTAAAATCACCTATTAAGAAGTGGAAAGTTTGGGGATCTCTTGATACCAAGCCAAGGTCAGGTAGACCAAGAAAGATTGCAGCCACAACTGCCAGAAGGACTGTTTGGGATACAAAGGGAAACCCATAGGTAACCACAAGAAAAATACAGGCTGCTCTGGAAAAAGACAGCGTGGTTGTTTTTAAGGAGTACAATATGATATCACTTGAACAAAAATGAGCTGCATGGTCGAGGTGCCTGAAAGAAGCTTTTAGTGCATCAATGACACAAGAAAGCCCGGTTAGGCATGTCAAGGTGTTGTCAGGCATATTGTAACCGGGCTTTTTTGTGGCATTGGTGCAGTAAAAGCTTCTTTCTGGCACCTCAACCAAACATCTAATTTTTGTTCAAGTATCACCGTATTGCACTCCTTAAAAACAAGCACACCATCTTTTTCCAGAGCAGCCTGGATTTCTTTAGAGGTTGCCTGTGGGGTTTTTTCTTTGAATCCCGGACAATTCTTCTGTCAGTTATGGCTGAAATCTTTCTTGGTCTACCTGACCTTGACTTGGTATCAAGAGATCCCCAAACTTTCCACTTCTTAATAAGTGATCTAACAGTACTGATTGGCATAGTCAAGGCTTTGGACATCTTTTTATGTCCTTTTCCATCTTTATAAAGTTCCATTACCTTGTTACGCAGGACTTTTGACAGTTCTTTTCTGCTCCCCATGGCTCAGTATCTAGTCTAGTCAATGCTTCCACGTAAGAGCTAACAAACTCATTGATTATTTATACACTGACACTAATTGCAATTTAAAAAGCCACAGATGTGGAACATTAACCTCGAATTGGCATTTTAGCCCGTGTGTGTCACCTTGTGTGTCTGTACTAAGGCCGGACACTCAGGGGGCGGAGACTTCTGATCCAGGGGGCGGAGACTTCTGATCCAGGCCATTTGGGTGATTTCTGTTATCATTATGATTTAAAAAGGAGCCAAACAACTATTTGATAATAAATGGCTTCATATGACCATCATCCTTCAATAAAAGAGCATTTTTTGGCATGGTCAGTCATATTTTCAATATCAATGCCAAAATTTCACAATTTCTGCCAGGGGATGTAAACTTTTGAGCACAACTGTGTATATACGCACGCACACACATATATAAATATATATATATATATATATATATACACAATATGGCCAAAATTGTAGTATTTCAAATATCATTTTCTTCCATGTGGGTGGTCACAAATTTTTTGGCCAAGCCCCGGTGGCCGGGGAGAAACGCGTCAGTAGGCGTGGCCAGAACAGCAGCTGAGCCCATTCCTCAACATTGAACGCCTGGGGTCGGTTGAGCAGAGTCCATCCCTTCAAAAGAAGTAAATGCATATCCTCTTTTTACTCCATCAAATTTCTGTTTTCACATTATGCTATTTACAACCGACACAACTTTATTTTAAAGGAAAAGTTCACTTTTTCGGGCGGAATTTCACTTTTCATAATAAATAGAAGCGTTCACCAACGCCAGTTCCGGCCCAGCCATCCCGATGTGCTTTTCTCTCACTTACCTCATCCACGGGACGTTTCATTTTTTTGTCAGTTTCTGTGAGATTTTAAACTGATTTCCTGTTGACGATATCTCAGCATTCGCTTCCCGTAGGCCACCTCCCAGAAGCCTTCACTTCCTTGTTGCATCACAGAAGAAGGTGTGCCAGGGCGTGTTCATCACTCTGGACCACACCTCCCTCATTACAATACTACCTTCCTCCCATCAGCTATGTAGTGCAAGGGCCGGTCTGATTTGATATCAGTTGAATGGATTTGTTCAGATGGGTCCTCCTATTCCATAGTTCTGGTAAATCTAAAGGAAATTGTACAATCAGATTGCATAGTGTATGGCCATCTTTTATACAAGTACATAGGAGGGAGTGGATGGAGACGGGCCCCATTCACATCTCCACTTAGTGAAGACTCACATTCCCGCATGCATTTGTATTGGGTGTTTTGGAGCGGTTTCACTCGTCACGCACAGGGCAGCCCAGGGTGGATTTGATTTAAATCAAGTTGATTGATTTAAATCACAATTTAACCCCTTTACGCCGGCCGCACACAAATGTGTGGCCTCCCGGCGTCTGGGCCTAGACGCCGAGCAGCCGCACGTTCACATTCATGTAAGAAGAAACATATGTGCTGAGAGCGCACGCCCTGCGCACTCCCAGCACACATGTCCGGTGCTCACGGAAAGGTCCCAATCTGCTCTTTCGATCGGGACCTTTCCCGATCATGTGACTGCCGTGATGACACGTCACGGCGGTCACATGATCCCTAAACCAAGCCCAGCCCACCATGCCTCCCGGCTTCTGAAACTCTTAAAGTTCCGGGAGGCGCCGGCGGGAAGGGGTTAAAGAGCAGCTGTCATTTCTGTCCCGCAGCGGCTCCTCCTCTGACCCGCTGTTGACTCACCGACAGTCCCATTCACTTTAATGGGACGGCTGGTGATGCGCAGTGACGCAACAACGTGAGGGACGTGGCGGCAGCAGGTGAGTGGATGCCCGCTAACAGGCGCTGCCATGATGGATCTAAAACGAGAGGTGCTCTTTAACATGTTCCTGCCTGGCCTATAGCAGATTGAACGGACGGGCAGGACACTCGCCGTTGTGACTGAGCGTCATATGACGTCCTGTCATAACGAGCTGCTCACGCGGTCGCGCAGTGGTGCGATCTGTCTCCGGCTGAGACACAGCCAGTGACACATCGCTACACCGGCCCGTTGCCAGTGTCACGTGACTGCTGTGACCAATCACATCAATTGTATACAATGGATGGCTTCCTGTCATACCATCCAATGTATACAATTGTGTTGTTAGCTGCGACTGGTCAAGGCAGTCACATGATACAAACAGGGTCAATCACAGCCCATCTGTATCATGTGCTCAGCTTTGCCCAATCACAGCTAATCAAAAAAAAAAAAAAGACTGAATGTATCAGTTTCATTCAGTAACAATGATTGCAAATATTATATATTATTATATAAAGGATTTATATTGCGTCAACAGTTTGCTCAGCGCTTTACAATATAAATCAATTAAATACATTGGTATTAGCAATCATAATGTGTAATAAAAAAACCCTGATCACTTACTCAGAGTAGTTCAGTGTTACTATGGTAACATTGTATTGCTTTGGTGACAGTGTGATGAAAAATAAAATAGTAAAAAAAAAAGAAAACAAATATAATAAAAAAAAAAAAAAATAAAATACAAATTCAATTATTATTATTTTCAAAGAAATGTGGCAGAATAAATGTTGACCTAAATTTACAAAGAAATGTTATTTATTTGCAAAATTTTGTAACCAAAACAAAGAAAAGTGTGTTTTTTTTTTCAAAGGTTTCAGGTGTTTTTTGTTTTATTTAGCAAAAAATAAAAAATCCCAGCGGTGATTAACCAATTCAATACCGGGCAATTTTACCCCCTTCCTGCCCAGGCCATTTTTCAGGTTTCAGCGCTCTCACACTTTGAATGACAATTGCGCGGTCATACAACATTGTACCCAAGCTAAAATTTTATCATTTTCTTCACACAACTAGACCTTTCTTTTGGTGGTATTTAATCACCGCTGGGGGTTTTTATTTTTTGCTAAATTAACAAAAAAAGACCTAAAATTTTGAAAAAAAAAAAAAAACATGTTTTTCTTTGTTTCTGTTATAAAAGTTTACAAATAAATAATTGTTCTTCATAAATTTAGGCCGAGATGTATTCTGCTACATGTCTTTGGTGAAAATAACCCAAATTAGGATGTATTTTTTAGTTTGTAGAAAGTTATAGAGTTCACAAACTATGGTATAGATCTGAATATTGATCAATCCTGAAGTACTGACAGCCAATCTAATTTCTTGAGTTCCAAGAATGTCAGAACAGTACAGATATCCCCCCCAAATGTCAGGACAGTACAGATATCCCCCAAATGTCAGGACAGTACAGATATCCCCCAAATGTCAGGACAGTACAGATATCCCCAAATGTCAGGACAGTACAGATATCCCCCCAAATGTCAGGACAGTACAGATATCCCCCAAATGTCAGGACAGTACAGATATCCCCCAAATGTCAGGACAGTACAGATATCCCCCAAATGTCAGGACAGTACAGATATCCCCCAAATGTCAGGACAGTACAGATATCCCCCAAATGTCAGGACAGTACAGATATCCCCCAGGACAGTACAAATGTCAGAACAGTACAGATATCCCCCAAATGTTACAGATATCCCCCAAACAGAACACTACAGATATCCCCCAAATGACCCCTTTTTGCAGAGTAGACAGTCGGACGTACTTCATAAGAGGAATGGCGAGTTTTTTGAAGTTGTATTTTTTTTGTCATAATTTTTTGGAAAATGAAAAAAATAAAAAAAATTATTTTACTATTTTTTTTTTTTTACATATTGTCACCAGTGCAGTACAGCGTCATCATATAACTGGCATGGCGGTGATCAGGGACACTGACTGGTGACAGTATGAAAAAAAATATATATATTTTTTTTAATTTTTTATTACATTTGTTTTCTTTTTTTTAAGATTTTTTTTTCATATTTTGACTATGACCAAAGTAGTACAATGTTACCATAGTAACATTGTACTACTTTGGGGAAGTGATCAGTATATATTTTTTTTTTTTTTTTTACACAATTTGCTTATAGCAAAGAATTACTTTGCTATAAGCAAGCATTTACCTGAATGACATCGATTCATTCAGGGTTTTTTTTTTTTTGTGCTTAGCTGTGATTTGGACACAGCTAATCACATGACATGTGCATGTGACTAGCTGTGACCATTCACAGCTAGACACTAGTATACAATGGATGGCATAAATGAAGCCATCCATTGTATACAACTGTCATGTGACCTGCTGTGATTGGTCACAGCAGGTCACATGGTACCGGAAACAGGGCCGATACTCAGATCTGTCATCGGCCGTGTCCGAGGTACACGGCCGGTGACAGATTGCGCCGCTGCGCGTCTCTGCAAGCGCACGAACTGCGCATGTGCGGGAGTACGCCATATGTCGGCCTCCCGGAAAGCTAGTGCATTTTTCCGGACACCATACGGCTATTGGCCGGGCGTCAAATGGTTAAATACCACCAAAAGAAAATTCTATTTATGTGAAAAAAAAAAAGATAAATATTTCATATGGGTACAGTGTCGCATGACCGCGCAGTTGTCATTCAAAGTGTGACAGTGCTGAAAGCTGGCCTGGGCAGAAAGGGGGAATAAGTGGCCGGTATTGAAAGGGTTAAATGTAAGGAATCCGACTCGTTCTTGCTGGTAGTTGAATCTTTAATATTTGCAAACCGAATGAAGGTTTCCTTTTTAGAATAATAAGCTGTCAGGTTAGTAAAACAATCGATATCAGAACCGATTTCAGGTTCATCACACAGCGTGAGAACGACTCCCATTCTTTCATTTCATGTTTTTTCTCGTGGTTCCTGTGAAATCGTGTGAATGCATCAATGCGGTGAATGTGATCTCAGCCTGCAGAGCTTGGATTCATTGAATGAGTTCACCAAAAATGTGAATATTGCAAAATATTCAGCCTCATGCTACATAACTAAGTTCCATTTCATGCTGAATAAACGCCATTATTAATGTCTCCTAAACTGAAAACTATCTTTAGATAATTTTTTACTCCAAAAGCATTTTATTGAAATAAATTTGATAAAACTCAAAAAAGTCAAATTTAGATTAAAAAAAAAAAAGTGATTTAAATTAAAAAAAAAAATTTGATTTTTTTCTCTTTTTTTTTTTTATAAATCATCGATTTTTATTCACCCTGGGGCAGCCTATTCAATTGAACGGGCTGCCAAACAAGCAACAATCAGAACAACAAAAGCAACAAAAGCCCCAGAGCTTTTCATGGAGTGGAGCACGGAGCGGTAAGCAGTTTTTGGTGCGTTTGCCACACTTGGGGTGCCTTTAAAGTGCTACTAAACCCCGGACCCTGCATTCACTATATCCGCTCTCCCCCAAACCCTGCATTCACTATATCCGCTCTCCCCAGATCCCGCATTCACTATATCCGCTCTCCCCAGACCCTGCATTCACTATATCCGCTCTCCCCCCGACCCTGCATTCACTATATCTGGTCTCCCCGGACCCCGCATTCACTATATCCACTCTCCCACGGACCCCGCATTCACTATATTCCGCTCATCCCCAGACCCTGCATTCACTATATCCGCTCTCCCCCGGACCCTGCATTCACTATATCCACTCTCTCCCGGACCCCCGCATTCACTATATCCACTCTCCCACGGACCCGCATTCACTATATCCGCTCTCTCCCGGACCCCGCATTCACTATATCTGGTCTCCCCAGACCCCGCATTCACTATATCCCGCTCTCCCACGGACCCTGCATTCACTATATCCGCTCTCCCCCGGACCCCTGCATTCACTATATCCGCCTCTCCCCGGACCCCGCATTCACTATATCCACTCTCTCCCCGGACCCTGCATTCACTATATCCACTCTCCCCCGGACCCGCATTCACTATATCCGCTCTCCCTGGACCCTGCATTCACTATATCCGTCTCTCCCCGGACCCTGCATTCACTATATCCGCTCTCCCCCCGGACCCTGCATTCACTATATCCGGTCTCCCCGGACCCTGCATTCACTATATCCACTCTCCCCGGACCCCGCATTCACTATATCCGCTCTCTCCCCTGACCCCGCATTCACTATATCCGCTCTCCCCAGGACCCTGCATTCACTATATCCGCTCTCCCTGGACCCCGCATTCACTATATCCGCTCTCCCGGACCCTGCATTCACTATATCCACTCTCCCCGGACCCTGCATTCACTATATCTGGTCTCTCCCCGGACCCTGCATTCACTATATCTCTCCCTGGGACCCTGCATTCACTATATCCGCTCTCCCCGGACCCCTGCATTCACTATATCTGGAACTCTCTCCCTGACCCTGCATTCACTATATCTGGTCTCCCCGGACCCTGCATTCACTATATCTGGTCTCCCCAGACCCCGCATTCACTGTATCCGCTCTCCCCGGACCCTGCATTCACTATATCTGCTCTCTCCCAGGACCCTGCATTCACTATATCCGCTCTCCCCGGACCCTGCATTCACTATATCCGCTCTCCCTGGACCCTGCAATTCACTATATCCACTCTCCCGGACCCGCATTCACTATATCTGGTCTCCCCTGACCCTGCATTCACTATATCCACTGTCTCCCAGACCCCGCATTCACTATATCTGGTCTCTCCCTGACCCTGCATTCACTATATCTGGTCTCCCCGGACCCTGCATTCACTATATCTGGTCTCCCCAGACCCCGCATTCACTGTATCCGCTCTCCCGAACCCTGCATTCACTATATCTGGTCTCCCAGGACCCTGCATTCACTATATCCGTTCTCCCCCCGGACCCTGCATTCACTATATCCGCTCTCCCCGGACCCTGCATTCACTATATCTGGTCTCCCCGGACCCTGCATTCACTATATCTGCTCTCCCCGGACCCCGCATTCACTATATCCAGTCTCCCCGGACCCTTCATTCACTATATCCGCTCTCCCCGGACCCCGCATTTACTATATCTGGTCTCCCCGGACCCTGCATTCACTATATCCGGTCTCCCCGGACCCTGCATTCACTATATCTGGTCTCTCCCCGGACCCTGCATTCACTATATCCGCTCTCCCCGGACCCTGCATTCACTATATCCGCTCTCCCTGGACCCCGCGTTCCTTATGTCCACTGTCCACGGACCCCGCATTCACTATATCTGGTCTCTCCCCTGACCCTGCATTCACTATATCTGGTCTCTCCCTGACCCTGCATTCACTATATCTGGTCTCTCCCCGGACCCTGCATTCACTATATCTGGTCTCCCCAGACCCCGCATTCACTGTATCCGCTCTCCCCGAACCCTGCATTCACTATATCTGGCATTCACTATATCCGGTCTCCCCAGGACCCTGCATTTATCTATCCCCGGACCCTCCGCTCTCCCCGGACCCTGCATTCACTATATCCGGTCTCCCCGGACCCTGCATTCACTATATCCGCTCTCCCCGGACCCCTGCATTTACTATATCTGGTCTCCCCGGACCCTGCATTCACTATATCCGCTCTCCCCGGGACCCCGCATTCACTATATCCGCTCTCAGACCCGGACCCTGCATTCACTATATCCGGTCTCCCCGGACCCCGCACCCCGCATTCACTATATCCGCTCTCCCCGGACCCCGCATTCACTATATCCGGTCTTCCACAGTACACACAACATGGAAATGCAATTATTTTAGTAAATATAAACTGCTAAATCGCTTTTCCCCATCAGCAGTATATAGCAGTCTTGTCACTTCTATCAGTGTCCAGCCGAGCACTGGTTACAGCTTGTAGGAGGAGATTTCATTTTGCTCTAGGAGGATGCAGAACCCCTGACCTCTGTCTGGACAGTACTGATTGGCCTTGAGCTGATCACATGTACTCTCCCAAGAAAAAAAAACACCTTTCTAGCAATACACACCAAACTGAGCATGTGCTGAGTTTCGTTACATGAGATGTCTTATCAGGAGATAAGAAGGGGGCACTGGAAGAAGGGGAGGATCAGAGAAGACAGGATCAAACAGCGTTTTTAAACAATGATTAACCCTTTAGGTTCCACAGTGAGTATAACAAGCATGCTTTACCGCATATACAGACTGATTGCACCGTTGTGGGTTTAGTAACACTTTAACACGTGATGACAACACAAACACGATGGGGACGCATGTTTTTTGGCTCGTTTTTCCAGGAACACACATAGGGCAGATGTTTAATTTTGATGGGCAAAGTAGCTCATGGGACATTTTGACGTGGTGCGGGTTGCACATTCTTTGCTGCATTTGTCACCCGTTTTTTTTTTTTTTATGTGGCAAAATGTGCGCTTCTTTCTGTGTTTGGTGCGCCATTAACAATTAATGACACTGAAAGTGCAAATTAGGTCATTTTAGGTGTAGAAAGGCGGCCATACACTATACAATCTGATTGTACAATCTCCTTTAGATTTAACAAAACTGTATAGGAGGACGCAGCATCTATCCAATCACTCTGTATTCAATCAAGCAGGCCCTTGCACTACATCAGGGGTCTCCCATGGGCTGCATGCGGCCCCTGGGAGTTTAGCATGTGGCCTGAGCCCATCTGTAGAGACGCTGAGGTAGCCAGGTAAATGCACATGGGGAAAGATCCCGGGGACACTTTGAAGAAGAAAAAAAAAAAGTTGATGGGTGAAGGGTGTGTGCTAATGAGGTCAGCGCAGGATGTGTGTGCTGATGAGAGATCCACTAGTACTCTGCTTCCTGGTCATACTGGTTCCTCTGTCCTCTATCTACATTCCAGGAAGTGAAAAAGCTTTCTAAGAAATTTACCAAAGGCTAAGGTAAGGCCTTGTTCTACAGATCAAAGAGAGCTTGTATATTTTTACAACTGAGGTACATTAACAGCTTCCCCGCCGCCGTATAGCAGATATACTGCTACACAGTGGCACGGGTGCGCAAAATCACATATATACACGTGGTTTTCATTCCCAGGTAGGGGGGTGCGCGCGAGCCGTGCACGCGTGCCCTTCCCGCTATGCCATTCGCGGCCGCGGATGTCAGTCACTGGGTCCTGGCCGGTGATTACCCGCCGACGCCCGATGATTAGCGACAATCACCGATGCGGAGGAAGACTGTTTTGTTTACAGTCTTCCTCCTTGTCAGCTCGGGATGGCCATCCTGATCAGTGTGCTTACAGTGAAGCACCCCCCCCCCACCCCCTAGTAAAACACTTCCTATACACAGTTAATCCTTTGATCGCCCCTCACATTAACCCCTGTATATATATTTATTATATGTATTAATATTTATTTTATATATGTGTGTGTGTGTGATTTGCATTTCCGTGTAGGGGGTGCACGCGCCTCCCTACCCGCGCTGCTGTTGGCGGCTACAAATGTCAATCACAGGGTCACAAACCGGCACTCAGCAATCGTCGGGTAAAACCGACAGGGGAGAGACCCGTGTGTAAACAACGAAGGTCTCTCCCCTGTCAGCATGGACATGCTGCTGTGTATCTCTCTGCACAGCATGTCTCCCTAGTAAAACACAGCACACAGTTAACCCTTTGATCGCCCCAAAAGTTAACCCCTTCCTGCCCAGTGCTGTTAGTACAGTGTCAGTGCTTTTTATTAGCACTGATCACTGTATTGGTGTCACTGGGGATGTCAGTGGCAGTTAGTCATTTCCCCATTGACTATCGACGATCACCGACAGGGAGGAGAGCTGCATTGTTTACCAACAACCCTCCTCCCTGTCAGTTTGGGCACACTGCTCGGGATGGCTGAGCACAGCCAATCCCGATCATTGTGGTTTACTGTGAAGTACGCCCAACCCCCCCCCCCCCCCACCCCCTAGTAAGACACGCCCATCGCACAGTTAACCCTTTGATCGCCCCTCACATTAACCCCTTCCTGTCCAGTGCCATTAGTACAGTGTCAGTGCTGTTTTTTTTTTTTTTTTTTTACCACTGATCACTGTATTGGTGTCACTGACACCAATTTAGTTCCCCCCAGTGTCAGAATGCCCGCCGCAGTCCTGCTAAAAGTCGCTGATTACTAGTAGGAAAAAAAAAAATTCCATTATCTATACCGCCATTTGTAGATGCTGTAACTTTCACGTAACCAAATTAATTTGCACGTATTGGGATTTTTTTTTTAACAAAGACATGTTGCAGAATACATTTTGACCTAAATTTAAAACGAAATTAGATTTTTTAAATTTTTTATACTGGACATGTTTTATAGCAAAAAGTCAAAAATATTGTTTTTTTTTCAAAATGGTCGGCCTTTTTTTTTTGGTTTATAGCGCATAAAAAATAAAAACACACAGGCGATCAAATACCACCAAAAGAAAGCTCTGTTTGTGGGGGGGGGGGAATGACATAAATTATATTTACGTACAGGCGTCGCATGACCGCGCAATTGTCAGTTGAAGTAATGCAGCGCCGTTTCGCAAAAAAAAATGGCCTGGTCAGGACGAGGTGGTAAATCCTCTGAAGGGCGAGCATAACTGCTGCCTACATGGCATCCAACCCTAATGATCACGTTAACCAGGTCGCCTCCCATTGAACCCAATGCAAAGTCGCCTCCCATTGACGCCAACACAAAGACGCCTCCCATTGACGCCTACGCAAAGACGCCTCCCATTGACGCCTACGCAAACACGCCTCCCATCGACGCCTATGCAAACACGCCTCCCATCGACGCCAATGCAAAGACGCCTCCCAGTCCATTCCAGTGACTTCAATGCAAAGACGCCTTCCCAGTGACTTCAATGCAAAGACGCCTTCCAGTGACTTCAATGCAAAGACGCCTTCCAGTGACTTCAATGCAAAGACGCGCCTCCCATTGACTTCAATGCAAAGACGCCTCCCATTGACTTCAATGCAAAGACGCCTCCCATTGACTTCAATGCAAAGTCGCCTCCCATTGACTTCAATGCAAAGTCGCCTCCCACTGACTTCAATGCAAAGTCGCCTCCCACTGACTTCAATGCAAAGTCGCCTCCCACTGACTTCAATGCAAAGTCGCCTCCCACTGACTTCAATGC